ATTATGAACACTCTCTCCCTTTCTCCTCACCCCTCTTTACATATTGCACATTTCCTACTCCCAATTTTTCTGTGTGTAATACACTGATAGCCTTTGTACCAGTCAGATTCCTTGTATGTTCAAAGATTCTGATTCTGATATTTTACCCATTTTAAATGGTTAAAAAAAAAAACATCAGCTTATGGTAGTCAACATTGATATCATGGTGAGCTGCCACAAATAAATCAATGTATGAGAAACGGTGGACTGTGAACTAAGAGACAAAATCTATGTATGTTTACAAATAAACTTGAAATTTGTCAGTTTAGTCACATTTTCCTTTTGTTAATGTCTCTTCATTTACTTGAAGTGCCACAAATAAAGAAGGCAGTGTTAAGTTACTTTAAATAGCCTTTTCTGCATTGTTTCTTTATACATTAGCCAAGGTTAAGCATTTCCATTAATTCAATGACTTGGAGAGGGCAATTCATACATTTATTACCTCTAGAATTGATTATTCTAACACACTATACAGCATGTTGGAGTCCCTTTAGCTTCCCTGTCTCATCTTAAGTTGGTCTAGAGCCCAACTGCTCATCTTTTGACAAATACACAGAAACATGAACACACAACCCAGGGGAGGGGAGGGGAGGAGAGGAGAGGGGAGAAAATCGAAACTCAGAGCATCATGGGGCCCCCAGCAGTCTAGGCCTATAGCAGCAAAACTAAGGGAAGTGTTTTTAATCTTAAAGGTAGAGAGGGTGTCCGCCTCCTGAACTGAGACTGGGAGCTGGTTCCACAGGAGAGTAGCTTTATAGCTAAAGGCTCTGCCTCCCATTCTACTTCTGTGGGCTCTGGGAACCACAAGCAGACCTGCACTCTGAAAGTGCTCTGTTGGGATGATAAGGCTCTACGAGGTCTTTAAGATACAATGCAGCCTTGTCATTAAGGGCTTTGTATGTTAGTAGAAGGATTTTAAACTCTATTCTGGATTTTACAGGGAGCCAGTGGAGAGAAGCTAATATGGGAGAGATATGATCTCTCTTGCTAGTTCCTGTCAGTACTCTGGCTGCAGCATTTTGGATTAACTGGAGGCTTTTTATGGAAATATTGGCACATTCTGATAGTAAAGAGTTACAGTAGTCCAGCCTGGAAGTAACAGATGCATGGACCAGTTTTTCAGCATCACTTTGAGACAGGATGCTCCTAATTGTTGCGATATTGTGCAGGTGAAAGAAGGCAGTTCTGAAGACTTGGTTATATGTGTGATTTAAAGGACATATCCTGGTCAAAAATGGTTTCAAGGTTCCTCACAGTAGTACTGGAGGTGAGAACTATGTCATCTAGAGTAACTATATGATTAGACAGCAGATTTCCAAAGTTTTCAGGTCAAGTACAATAACTTCAGTTTTGTCAGAATTTAGAAATAAGAAATTACAAGTCATCCAGGCTTTTGTGTCTTTAAGACATGCTTGAAGTTTAACCAGCTGATCTGATTCATTTGGCTTCATAGATAAATATAACTTGAGTATCATCTGCATAGCAATGGAAATTTATGTTGTGCTTCCTGATAATATTGCCTAAAGAGAGCACGTATAAAGTGAAGAGAATTGGACCTAACACAGAGCCCTGTGGAACGCCGTGACTAACTTTAGTCTGTGTGGAAGATTCATCATTAACATGAACAAATTGAAAACTTTCTGATAAATAAGTTTTGAACCAATTTAGTGCAGTTCCTTTAATCCCAATAACATGTTCAAGTCTGTAATAAGATGCTGTGATCAGTGGTGTCAAAAGTATCACTGAGATCTAAGAGGACAAGTATGGAGATGAGTCCTTTCTGAGACTAGGAGGACATCATTGGTGTCTTTCACCAATGCCATTTCTGTACTGTGATGGACTCTAAAACCAGAACAAATTGGACCTGTTACTCTGCACTGCACTTACTCCTACTCTGTTATTCTCTGGGTAGATCTCTTAGGTCTTCTAACAGTTGCTCTTAGAGGTGCCTTGCTCCAGATTTAAAAATTATGGTGACCCAGCCTTTGCTGTAGCGGCCCATAAATTGTGGAATAGTCTCCCACCTAAGAGTTGGCCTGCCTCTGACTTGCCTGCCTTTCGCTCTCTCCTTAAAACTCATTATTTAGGCACGAGTTTGTTACCAACACAGATTAGGGCATCTATGTGTTGTCTGTTTTTGGTTCTTTTTCTGTCCTGTTTCTATTGTGTTTATCTAATTGTTGCTTAATTGTTTTTAAATTTGTCTTAAACATCTTCTTTTTTTGTATTTTTTCTTTTAATGTTGCTTGGGTTACTTCTGTCTTGCCAGCTATCCAGTGTGGTCTGCCTTTGGTGAGGGCTCTCTGCATCAGCTGTGTGCTTGACCAGCAAGTGATATTTGAGACTTGACATACACTGGTAGTAACTCAATTCACATCAACAGTAGATGCAAATAACTTTGGTGTTGTGGAGAGAAGCATCTGGCAGGGCTTTGAAGCTGAACTTGCCATTCAAAAGACACTTTTCTTTTCTGCTGCTGTATTGCTTCCTGATTTTCCAAACTGCTGAGTCATAATAACAAAATTTACATTAATCGTATGTCAAAAAAATTGTGGCATTAAAAGGAATTTGTGTTACCGATTTGTTATCTTGTTAACTGTGACAGCCCTAAATTAAACAGTGTCCTTTAAGGCACTACGATCATTAAAGACCAAGCCATTTCCCTTCATTCTGCTCCTTCAAATCTGTGGAGATCAGGAGGCTTCTTACAGGAAGAATGTTTGCTTAAACTTCATATATTTTTTGCCCTGGGCAGTCCAAAACAGATTACATATGATAAGGTCATTACGTATTCTGGAGCAGAATAAAACCTGCTATGACTAAATAGTTGGCATAAATAAGGTGTGTTCAGAAGTGTCTTCCACGATCATGGTAACTGTCCCTTATTACCCCAGCTTTTCATTCAATGTATAAAATATTAATAGGATCTGGTTTTCAGTGTTTTTAACTTGGTTTCATCTTGTGTTTATGGTCCCAAGAATTGATAGACAAAAAATACTTCTGTTGTTCTGTGCTGTCAGAGGATGCTCCATAGCTTTAGGATGGTTTTAGTGTCTGGAAAAAGTGAAAGAAATACTTTCAGTTTGGGCTGCTGATTATGCTCTGACAAATGTTTAAAAAAAACTGAGTGACAATGTTAAAAAGGAAGTAAATGATTACATTTTAAAAAGATTTTTTAAATGTTTGTTTTTTTATAAAATAAGAACTAGTTTGCCCTAAAAGTGAACTATACTTTTCAATAAATGCACATTGTTGCAGATGGTATTTTAGTCTAATTTAGAGATGTGGTTTTAAATAACCTCTGTTTATCTGTAGGTGATGTTACAATAGCCCGTTTGATGACCCTAATGGGTCTGACTTGCCTAATGTTTTGCTATTCTTCCGTTACTTCCCATACCTCTGGCTTTAGAACTCGGTAACAGTAAGCAGAGCTTTTGGTGCTTAAACACTTTGACCCTCTGGAAACACAAGAGAGCCTCTGAGCTTCACAATTAATAGTATTTGGTACTGTAATTAACACTGGCAAAGTGGCCAAGGTGTGGGAGGATCCAACACTTTTGGTCTCTAGATCTTTATTGTCTTATGCACAGCAACACAGCAGGTAACAACATTGAATGCAGGATAATTTGGCTTCTTTGAGCATTTGTTTAATTAAAATGTTGTTCAGTACTAAATTACTCTTTAAAATAGTGGTAACATTTATTTGGGGGCAGTTGAAAAATGGTGGCCATTCTCACCTGTGCCATCTTGACTTATTATGTCATGTAAGTCAGTATATGTGATTACTTCTACTGCAACATTTAAATCAACATCACCCTAGCTCCCTTAGAGAAATAAGTCCCTTCCAAATGGAGTTTAATTTTTCCAAACTGCCCCAACCACAAACATTTTTTAGCCCTTTATTTTACCTTGCCTACCAGAATACGTTTTTCCCCACTATTCCCCCTGCTGCCCCAAAGCTCCTCAGCTGTCTCACCCTGGTGCAGTGCTCCACATTAATCATTTGTGTCTCAGCAAAGCCTTTTGGGACACTTTACAGTTTCTCTTCATTGCCTGGGACACCGGCACTGAAGCTAAACCAATAGTGAGAGAGAAAACCTTTGAATGTCAACACAATACAAATTTATCAAATTTTAAGAATACATTTTTTGGATGTTTTGTTTGACAGTAAATGATTTCTAGTTCTAATATGGGACTCTTTGTGTTATATTTACCATTACATCCTTACCATCTTACACCTTGATTCCCCTTTTGACTTATCCAAGTTAATAATTTGCTGCAGCAGGTGATGACTCATAGTTTACAGCCGTTTTGGTCCATTGTTCATGTTGTGTCGGTATGTACATTACGTTGGAGGGTAATCTGAACATGACTGGCCTTTTGGACAGTAGTTAGTAATGATTCATTACTTCAGATAACACAGAGACCATGTCAGACAGAAGGCAATCCCTGCATGTACTTATGGAGCTTCCCTACCACTGAATGTGAAATGTGTGCGTGTGAACAGTGGGGGTTTCATTAGTATAAGCTTCACAGTGTGTCCACATTTTCATTTTTGATTTCAAGAGGATTTCCCAGCCTGGTAAGAAAAGAATGCTTTGTACAAATGTGCTTAGATATGCTCAGGTAAGGAGTTTTATTTGCAAACTGATACACGTTTACTTCAAGGATCTCCCTCATCACAAGACATATTATTACAGTCAGTACAAGGTGAAAGCCAAGCGAGAAACCTTCATTCATTACCATTCTTTCCCTGTAGGTTTGTGGATTTGCAATTTGTCGCTGCTCATCCATGGAAATGTTGATTGGTTTACCTCAGGCTTTACTCCTGGCAGTTGAAATGGGCAGATAGCAACTTTCAAGTGGATAGGGGATGGGAGGTGGGGATGCCACCACCTGTGATAATTTTTGTAATTAAAAGAGCAATGATGCACTTCTCAAAGATGTTTGTTGGATTGGTTGGAAGATGTTTGCTTGTACCACTCAGCATTTTCTTGTGATTAGAATCATGCAACCATACAGATCATCACATGAAAACATATAAGGTTTATGTGTGTTCATGCCGGTGATTAGCTGTGTATGGTGTGCAGGTGATACAAAATAGCCTCCTTTGTCTCTCAAGCTGCTCTCCCTGCTGTTGTGTTTACCCTTGCTGGTTGACATGTAAATCAACTGAAGCAGGACTGAAGTCGTTCTGTACTTTTTGCAGGCGTGTTTAATGCCTAATGTTGAGGGTAGAAAATTTGCTTTCTTTTAGCTTTTGGAGCCATTTAATGATTGGTCATTTAAAAGTGCTTTGGGGGGGGGACACATTTGCATATTTCTTATAGTGGGGCATGGTGGTTTTGTGATCGCATATGATGATCCTCACACCTTCTCTCACCCAGTCTTTCACACACACTCAAGGTTTCTCACATAAGGGCTGTCCTTGTATATGTCCTCTGTTTATTGTTCAAATGTCCCATATTGCACAATACATTTAGACTTTGTTCAAATATTTATAAAAAGCATTGTTAATACAGGAAAAGTACTGCTGATACTACCGTAAAATAAACATGACCAAATAAATTAAGAGAATCTTTCAACCCACCCTCCCATTCACCAGTTTGTAAAAAGTGGAAGGGATCAAGTAAGTACATTATAGCTCCTGTTTTATTGTACAATTAAATCAGCTATATTATTTGATTACAAGTTGATTAAATTATTTAAATCTTTTTCTAAAGCTCAATTTTTTTACATATACATTTTCTGTTAAAAAAATACCCCCAGCCACCCTTTTCCCACATTTTGGAGTTTTTTTTCCCCAGTTACATTTCTAGAAATTCATTAGCATTCTGCTAAAATTGGTGCATGTATGTTTTTAAATAGAAATATGTTTGCTATTAATGGTTATCATTTGTGTGTTGAGAGCATTATTGAGATTGCAGGTAGGGGGTCCTCTGACAGGAGCCCCAAAACTATCACGGTTTTGGCTCCAACAACAGCATGAATGTAGTGGCCAGCAGTGTCTCCAGGGTGGCTTCTCACCATACTTCTTATAGGCTCTGCTTTTAAACAGCATGTTTAAAAGCTCTTTCAAGAAAGTAGCAATTAAAGTTCCACAAACTTGAAAAGTGAGTAAAAATGCAGGGATAAACATCAGTGCTGTCAACAGGACTGTCCTGTTAAGCATATCATTTCAGCGAGTCAGCACTCCAAGATCTTAGATCAAGAAGAAATCTGTATTTCTTCTTAGGCCATGGGGGGCGTCAGTCCTGGTTGGCTGCTTGCCTGTGTCCATGCGACTCTTGCGCACCCTGTTTCCAGGATAGCCCTGCTTTTGCCATGTCTTCCAGCCCTTTGTTATCTCCCCTGTTCATGACTGTGACTTGGCAGTATGGCTTCTTTGTCCTCATCCTTAGCCAGTCTGTCCCATTTCCTTCTCTTCTCTTTGAGGAAGATGTTCATGACAAGCTTCTCAACATGTCACTTTCTTAACACCCACTGTTCGTTTCAGTCTTTCTTATAGACATCTTATCTGATAGCAGGTTTTTAGAAATCCCTTATCTTCTAATTTGACACTTCACAGTGTGGTGTAGATGTACACAAAAACGATTACAAAGAGGTTAAGAAATGTGCCAAGGATGCCTAACATTGCCAAGATGGACTCCTCCTGCTCCTCCTTGACCTCCAGTGCTCGCACGTCTTCAAGGGTAATGACTGTGGTTCCCATGATCTTGATGCTCACCTTACCTGGAAACGGGACACTTACCTGGAATAAAAGGAAATAATGGAATAAACAGAACATGACTGGAATTAACATTCTGCATTGAAGGCTTAGAATTATTAGCAAAAAGCCCAGTCCCAATCACTTCTGGGTTCAGACAGTCCCCTCCAATGTAAACACCACCACCACCAGAAGGAAATCAGTTCTGAATCAAACAAAACAATGGCTACAAAGAGCGGAGGGGGGTTTAGTCACCAATGTTTATGACCTGTCACAGCTTGAAGCCGAGCTCCTCGACAACAGTGTGCCTGACACCAGCGCTTGCTCGTTCTCATCCTTGGATTATCATCAATGAAACTGTAAAATTGCCAGCACGAATGCTCAATGGCATTTTCCTGAGTCAAAATAAGCCTGATTTAATACTACCATTTGGAGCCACAAGACAACCACCCACCTCTTTTCGTATGTTATTAATTCACATGCCTTACCCCTAGATTCTTGTAAGTAGTTGTTCTGACAGCTATAATATACTATTAATAATACCCAATTGTAACTATAAAATAATTCCCACCTTCCCTATGGAGAAGTCTTAGAAGGTTAGGACAAGAAGCTCTAGACATCTCTGAGAGAGTAATCTGAGCAAAATACGTAAACAGGGTCATTCTTAGTTCATCTTCATCCCTTTCAAATCTGTCAACACTACAGCTATCTTTCATATGAAATTCAAGCAATAAGGAAATTACAGACAAAAAAAGATGCCATATAAATAGAAAGTGCTTACCCTAAAGCATCTAAGGTGCAAGATAACATCATCCAGCATGCTTTATAGATCCCCACTGGAAAATCATGGCTTTAAGGGCATGCTAATGAGGACTTTTGGGGGAGAGGGGGGAAAGGCAGAATGTGTAGCCACAGTTCCAGTGTCTGTGAGCAGCAGGCAAAGTGACGAAGAGAATAATGGAAGGCAGCGGTGTTCAGCAACGTTTCCAGTGAAAACCTCCTTGTCACTTCTACAGTTTTCCAGTCTATAGCGCCACCTGCCAGGTTCAATAGCTCCTCATGCCCTTCCCTTTTGATTAAGTTGTCCCCCACACAAGTCTTTGCAGTGTTTTTTTTTTTTTTTTTTTTTTTTATCAGAAGCTTTGCTTTGCTGCTGCTAAAGAGCTAGCAGCCTCTGTTTAGGAAGCAAGAAGAAACCCTCTTCTCATTTTCCCCCTCCCACCTCCCCACTTTTTCTCCCATCCTCCCTGTCTGTTCCTTTGCTTGAGTTCCCTCTCACTGCTTTGCCTGAACTCCTTTTTGTCACAGTTCATCCACCTACCTTTCCCAGCTTATCAATAAATCTACACAGCCCCTTGTTCTGTACCACTCCCCAATCCTCAGCGCTTGCTTCGGAACCCTCTGAGGAACAGAGCAATTAGTGCCTTTCAGAAAAGCCTCATGCTCGTTACTGAAGCCCTCATGCCAACACCATGCAGATTGTGTCTGGTATATCAGTTGATAGTGTCCCAGCCGCTGCTGAACTAGATAAGGACAGGCAGGTTCTAGAATTAGCCGGGTCTGGCAGGTGATATTCCAGAAGAGGAGGAAAAGCTATAAATTCCAATGGAGCAGACGTCTGTAGAGGGGCAGAGGCAGCCGAGGCGCCCGACAGTCCTTATGGCAAGTCAGATCTGCATTGACTGCCTGTGATAGCAGTGTTACGATAGGTCTCCAACACCAGTTAGTCACCACAGGAGGACAGTTCATTGCATAACCAAGCAGAATGATTGCAAGAGGGAGGACAGATCCTGATGACCATGGCAATGAAGGAGAAGGAACATGAGAATGAGAGAGCGTGTGCGTGTCAGGGAGAGAAAAAAGAAAGAGGGGAGGGGGAAATGACATCGCTCACGCTTACTGTCTCCTCCTCTCCCACTGCTATGATGGCTGGTTGAGCACACACACACATACACCCCCATTCAGCTACCACCTAAACAACACACAAAACCAAAAAGAGAACAGCCAGAACAGGAGATGAATGCAGCATCACTGTGCCGTGCTCCGCTCTGAGTTTATTTGCTGCTATTCTGGCAGACCTGCAGAGAGGGAGGAGTGGAGGAGGATCGGGTAACAGTAGGAGGCGGCGGGAGGGAAAGGATGGCTGAGGATGGGTGGAGGACAAAGAGGGAGGCAGTGGAAAGGTGTGGGGTCTGTGCATGCAGCAGGAGATTTATTTCCAAATCTTCTGATACAAAGACACCATGCCTATAGAGCTGTCTGTGCTATTCCTTTGCTTTCTAACCTCTGCCACACTTTTGCTGCCTTTTTGTTTCCTAATGATACCTCTTTAGTATACCCTATGCTTCACTGTTCTGTGAACTCTGCATCACCACCTATGTCAGCACCAGTTTCAATTACTTAAGGTTAACTTCTCCCAGCTCCACACCACCATGCAGAATGGTTGATTTTTAATAAATGAAGGAAACTGCATTCCCTTTCAGTTCTTGCACTTGAGCATAAGTCAGCACAGTTGGGCTGCTGCTCTAAATGTCAACAGGCTGCTAATCCAGTCACTTCATTTCTTATAGCCCTGACTCACTCTCACTCATCTTTTCTTCTTCCTCACTCGCATCATCTTTGTCCTGTTTTATTTCTATTCCAGTGGATTGCAAATGTGCTCTGTTGGCCACAACCAAGGAACAATATGTACAGTATTGTTCAAAATAATAGCAGTACAATGTGACTAACCAGAATAATCCAGGTTTTTAGTATATTTTTTATTGCTACATGGCAAACAAGTTACCAGTAGGTGCAGTAGATTCTCAGAAAGCAAACAAGACCCAGCATTCATGATATGCACGCTCTTAAGGCTGTGCAATTGGGCAATTAGTTGAAAGGGGTGTGTTCAAAAAAATAGCAGTGTGGCATTCAATCAGTGAGGTCATCAATTTTGTGAAATAACAGGTGTGAATCAGGTGGCCCCTATTTAAGGATGAAGCCAGCACTTGTTAAACATGCATTTGAAAGCCTGAGGAAAATGCGTCGTTCAAGACATTGTTCAGAAGAACAGCGTACTTTGATTAAAAAGTTGATTGGAGAGGGGAAAACCTATAAAGAGGTGCAAAAAATTATAGGCTGTTCAGCTAAAATGATCTCCAATGCCTTAAAATGGAGAGCAAAACCAGAGAGACGTGGAAGAAAACGGAAGACAACCATCAAAATGGATCGAAGAATAACCAGAATGGCAAAGGCCCAGCCAATGATCAAAGACAGTCTGGAGTTACCTGCAAGTACTGTAACAGTTAGAAAATGTCTGTGTGAAGCTAATCTATTTTCAAGAATCCCCCGCAAAGTCCCTCTGTTAATAAGTCATAAATCAATGTTCATATGCGGTGACTTCAATATAGATCTGTTAAATCCAAACAAGCACACAGGAACTGAGGAGTTTATTAACACATTATACAGATGTAGTCTATATCCAAAGATTACAAAACCAAGTAGAGTAACAACTCAGCATGCTACAGTAATAGATAATATATTTACCAATGTTATTGACAGCAAAATAACAAGTGGACTACTTATAAATGATATTAGTGATCACCTACCAATATTTGTGGTTTATGAGGGCCAGTATAGAAAAGAGAGGCCAAAAACAAATTTTTTCTATAGGAGGGAGATGAATGAACATGCTTTAAGGAGGCTAAAAGAGGATTTTATGGGGCAAAACTGGGAATCAGTTTACAGAGAGGAAGACTTAGATAATGCATATGAGAACTTTTTAAACATATTTAAGACTGTATATGACAGGAACTGTCCTCGTAAGCGGTATAAAAATAAAAAGAATTACAGTGAGAGACCGTGGATGAGCAAGGGATTACAGAATGCATGCAAAAAGAAGAATGTGTTATATAAACAGTTCATTAAGGACAGTGCAGTGTGGCTTTTTATTAGTTGACTCCTACAATATACCAACGTACTTAGTGAAGTGTGTGTCACTCCTTCACTGTGTTAGTTTTGTTGTTAGTGTATAAACTGACTTTTAGTTGTTTTGAGTTTGCAGTATCCAGGCATTGTTAATACATATAGTACACCAGTTTGTGTGTGGGATCAAAAGGTACAGAAAATATGTATATTATGTTTTTCTCCCCTTTTGTATTTGTAGTACTACGAAATGTCCTATGGGCTGAACATTGAAATGCACAAACAGGTGATTCCTCTCTATAATGCAGTTTTTTGTCGTCCCATGTCTTGTGTTGTTCTGGTCTGACCTTGTTTCATTTGTTTTCTTGACAGGCAGAAATAGTGAAGAGACTGAATGGGATTTGTGCTCAGGTGCTGCCTTACCTGTCTCAGGAGGAAATGAACCACACATCTTCACTTTTTTTTTCAGTGGGAAATAAAAATAA